TGGCAATGCCCGTCAACTGGGTCACGTATAAGCTCGACCAAGGCCCGCCCCCTTGCTCGGCCTCAACACACAACTCTTCAAGTTATGCTGCATACTTTTTGGCTCTGTGTGTGTCTGTGTATTTGCAGGTGTGTGTTTGTGTGTCCTGGCTACGTTTTTCTTGTTCATTGATTCGAACGTTTCTCATGCGCTTTGCCTGGCATGTTTACATTTTCATTTTTTCTTTATTTATCATTGCAATTTTTTTTTTTTTTTATTTCTTACTCCGATGTTGCAGCGATAAAAATTCAATTTTGTTTATAAGCAAATACCCAACACTAGCTGCTGGCTGCCTGGTTGCCTGCCTGCCTACCTGCTGGTTACTGCACAACCATTTCTCGATTGAATCTTGTCATTCATGCCACACATTAGTCTCAAGTGCTGGCGCGCTATTTGTCTTGTGGAGTGGCAACTTGTGGGTGATTTCTAGTTTCCTTATTTATTCCACTCAGCAAACAGATGATATAGCTATTTCCCGGGCAGCCATTGCGGTTTTATTAGCTTAAATAGTTATCAAATACTTTGTAATAAAAGTAATCTTATTAATCATTTCAAGCAGAAGAAAGCATCTGGGGGTCAAACGAGTAAGCGGTAGGTCGCCATTTCAAATTAATATGCAAATTTAAATTACTACATAAATTTAATTTACTATGTAAAAATCTGAAAATTGAATACATATTAATAATAATAATTAAAACAATTCTTTTTCTACTACTACCGACTACTTTCATATGTATTCTGTGATACGTCTCAACCTGCCTCAACGAGGTTAAGCCATGATATAAATTTTATTAATAAGGCCTCAAATACAGACACAACATTCATAACATTGATATTATATATGTAGCAATAAATAAGCCGGTTAAGTTTCGACCTACTTTTTTTTCGGTAAAAGCTGTACCGTCATGCCATCAAAAATAAATTTCTGAGCAGCCATATTGAAGCGCATTTAAAAATACAATTAAATACGTAATGATATTTTTTTAAATTGAAATGCGACACGTTAATTAACACCTTACATTCAATACAGAATGATATTAATAATGCATCCTTATGTGCAGGCATAAAAATGCGCACAATTGATTTATGTCGCTTTAATTACACAACTACGTTTATAAATTGCACAGTAGGACATGATAAAATGCGTAATTAATATAATTTATAAAAAATGTGAAATATAAAAAAAAAGTGAGGTAATACATATGCATTGTTCTTAACAATAATTGATGAGCAAATGAATTAAACATATGCACAAAATTGGCCCATAAATTATAATTACACGCATTCATACACAACAGCTGTATGTGCCCCTATTAACACTAAGTAAATTAAATCATAACTCTTGAATAATAAATACTTTCCAATAAAAACTCTCGCCTAAAACAGACTCTTGACTCCAAAGGCAGCTCCTTGGCAAACTGTTCAAAGTGCCACTAGAATAGTGTGTCAATAATGTGAAATTATATCGAACACAATCAAACTTGACTCTCTCTATGAGCACACACAAATAAGCACATACACACACTGTAGTCGACTTTGTGGCCCCTGCGGATAGAAGAAAAAAGGAAAAAGCGGCGCAGTTTGTGTGAAAGTTGCCGTTTGAAGTTAATAACAAGCAGGCGTCTCTCTTGTGAACTCTTTCTAACTTCCTCTCTCTTTCTGTGGCTCAAATGCGGCTATGCCTTTTTATATCATTTAAATATCCTAACTAGAACACCTAACGGGCTTGATTATTATACCGAGGCATACATTATGCCGCATAGATTATGAGCTTCCAAACGTAAAGTAAAGATTATACAATTCATCAATATTAAAGTTTCCATAAGAGCACTTTTTCGTGATCCAACTACAGATATATTCCTATATCATATATGTTTCAGGTTTCTGTATAAAACTATTTCAGTTTAAAGAAAACTTTTATCTTTCTAAGGTATTATTTAGGTTTCCAAGAGCAGCTGCTGTGCATATCCAGCTTTAATTTGTGCCTTTCCTTAACTAAATCCCAGCTATGTAGCTATAGGGTTATTTTTTGATTCCAGCTCCAATTTCTTTTTGCTTGTTCGCTTGCGGCTGTTAGGTAAAAGCATATGCGGATATATATTTGATATTTTGTACATTTTTAAGCGGAAAGTCACGTATTTAGATTATTATTTTTATTTAAAGAATAAAAGCAAAAGGGAAAATCAATTGCGCGTAAATTGAGGGAATGTCATTTAGACTTCCGTTTCCGCTTACGCTGCTGCTAGAGCGTTAACAAACAATTGTCAAACACACGCCCTCGCACACATACACTTTCACACTTATGACACTCGAGTCGGAAGTGCGACAATGTGGCATATGATCCCAACACAGGCTGAGGCACTTGCATAAATATATAAGTAGACAATTTTAGAGGCATTATATATGCCAAGCCGCCAGTGTGCGTGCGTGTGTGAGTGTGTGTATAGTGTGCAACCACTTTAAACACAATCTAATGTCAACAAGCCAGAAGACAGAGAAAGACATAAAGCGAGTGGGCGAGGGAGGGGGAGAGTGAGAGGGAGAGAGAGAGACAGAAACAGGCAATGACATGACATTGCACATGTATGCCAAGTTCGACTTATAAATGTGGTTTAACTTCTATTCGCTTGTAGTAAGCATGTGGTGCCAACTGTTCCACATTTCTGTGTGTGTGTGGTTCGGCTTTTACTTGGCTTGCTACGTATCAATGAAGTTGTTAGTCGAGTGGCGCTTCCCGTCTGTACTAGCCCCTCCTCCTTCAACTAATGTGTATGAGCGTGTGTCTCGTGCGCTTTATTGGATTATCAGGCAAATTTTATAGTATTCCATTTTATTCCTCGCTCACATATGGAGTTTGCTTGTAAACTTAAATGGTTTTCTTTTTTGCCATAATCCAGTTTTTTTTCTTTCTTAAGGCGTATTTATTTGCCTGGGTGGGTTATTACACAAATGGGGTGTTATATGTAATTGGATTTTGGCTTTGCGTTAGTTGGCGAAGGGTAGCTTAATAAGGGTAATCGCAGACAATTCATGATGGGGGTATTTTTATATGAAGCAATAATATGTTAAATAACAAAAACAAATGATTTTCAAACGCATTGCCGGCCATTTATATTCTTAATACTGGTTGTGCCCTTTAATTTGTTATTGTTTGCCAAGTAAACCACAATTAAAAATATTTATTGAAAGAAAAACAAATGAAATATATTAAAAATGCATGCGTGTTAACATTAATAATTTATATACATCTAGCCAATTTCATTTTATTTTTGTTATAATTAAAGATTCATGGCTTTGTTCGAACATACATATTAATTACTGTATTGTTATTTTTAGCGAAATAATATTCGTTCATTTAAGTTGCGTTTTTAAATTAGCAAATTGGAGCTGAACAAACTTAAGCTGCAAGTAGTATAAGTTATCTAGGTTTAAAAGCTTACGTTTCCAGCTGAGAAAACATTGCAGGAAATCTCTTGTGTAGCAACACATTAAATCCCCTACACACACATACACACACCCATACAGAAATGCATACATAAATTTGTACATTGACAGGCATTAAAAATGTAAACTGCATTGCAAATGTTTTTAGCCCAAATGTACGAAATACCCATTAAACCCCCAATGGAACGGGGTGTGGAACACAGCTGGTTTTTACAAAAAAAGGAGAAGGAAGCTGAAAAACAATGCAGAAACAATAGAAAACAATTGACGTAGCACAATGCGACAGCAGGACGAGCATAGATTCCGTGCAGATTCACACGTACCCCCAGGGGTAAACAACGCCAGGCACACACACTCATACACTGGCACACCCCAAACACACAACTAGAACAGACAACGAGGCGAATGCCTGTGCCCCAAATGCTACGTTTTAATTGTTGAACCACAGAAGTGCTTACATTTGGCTCGAGGGTGCCAGCTGCATGAGGTGCTCGGTGAAAGAAAGGGGATGTGGGCAATATTGGGAGCTTACATTTCCATTCAGTCTGGTGTTTGTTTGCCTAACCCACATACAAGACTGCAGTCTGCATTCAACTTGAGCTGCATTCTAATTTAGACATCAATTTTGAACCCCAACTACAAAACGGCTAAAAGACATAAATAAATAAGGTTCAAATTAAAAACGAAAGCAAACACTAAATCCAAACTGCCAGTCGGACTCGTCCCAGCCTCCCAGCCTGCTCCTGTTCAGCTATCTAAAATTGTATTTGCCCGTCCTTCGATTCGAGCAGCGCTGCTAAATCACCCGGTAAAAACAACACATCGCACACGGTCTGCATTCAAATCAGCTCCAATTTTCTAGCTTCCACTATGCGAAAAAAAAAAAAAAAATACAGAATCTTCATGCGGCCAAAATCGAATTTCAGGTAGTTTTGCTTTGCATAAGGTGCGACAAATAAATAAGTTTTTCGCCTCGTTTATTTCTACAGCAGAAGTCACCAAATGCAATAGAAGTCGCTTCAGCTAACCGGTTCAGTTAAGCATAAATTTGCTCTTCTGTCTTTGAAATTGGCGCACATTTATTTTGAAAGCGTTGGAAAAATAGTTGACATTTCTTGTTGCATTGCATTTTACCTGTGAAAAATTCCGAAAAATATTTTATATTAAGATTGCCTTATATTTTAAATAGAAAAAAAAAATTTTAAATTCACTGAAAACTGTTAAAGAGTTTGCTATAACTTATTTTTAGTTTATATTTATGCTTTTTATTTTATTTTTGCTTAATGCAACAAATTTAGTGGTTTATATTATTGAAAGCGTATTTTCACACAAGTTGGCGGATCTGCTTTTATTAAAAAAAAAAGTAAAAATCGTTTCCATTGTTTCAATTTGGGCGAAAACTTTGAAACTAAAATAAAAAAATTTATAGATTTGAGCAATTTAAAAATTATAAACAATAAATATCATTTTTTTAATGTTATTTTATTTTAACAATCTATCAAAAAAGAAAGCAAAAGAAGCAAATGTGAAAGATATTCCAAATATGCCACATTTAAAGCTTGGGTCAATTGAAGTAAATAATTATTTAGAATATCTTCAAGAGCTTTTTGCTTTCATAAGTTCCACGAACTCTTAGTTGGTAAATATGCTGTTTCACAAACAGCTTTTAGTCTTGCCTTAGTTAACAAAACTTTTACATAATTGAGCTCGATAAAAGCAGCTTTCAACAAGAAGGAAAACTGTTGTCAATCATATAATTTTTAAATATTTAGAAAGCTGCACTAAACTAACTGAAATATTTATTAGGCTATGCTTAACTTGTCATTTCGTTTAAAACAAGTTGGCAGCACTGCACTAACTTTCTGAGTTATGTGACAACTGCCTTCTGCCCCACAAAACCTGGCCACTTGCTGCTTATAATTCGCCGCGTAACTGAAAGGTTGTTAAGAAGAGTTCGGGTTGACGGCTACATATTGCCTTGAGTTTTACGCAAATTGGCAGCACGCTGAATTCACGATATGTTGGCAGCGCATAAACTGAATCAACTGCCAGAACAAGCCAGTGCCGTGGTTGTGTGGGGGCTGGCTGCGAGATACGAGTTGTGAGTTGCGAGCTGTGGCATTCAAATGGTGGCAATAAATTTTAAAACGTTTGCACGTTGCAGGTGACTTTGTGCCACCCCCCCTCCCCCTTCCTTTTTATTTGTGCTAACAATTTTAGCTGACACGCCCACTCTTGCACGCCCTCTTTGCATTTTTGGTGTGCCCCGGCAATTTGCTGCTCAATTGAACTCTGCGCACGGATTTGCCGGCTGCTCTTCGACTGTAGTTCTGTCTGTTTATCTACGTGGGTATGTGTGTATGGTGCCTGTTTTGCATAGGTTTTGACAATTTTGGTGCAGTAGCTGCGTGCGCCGCATGTTTGTAAGCCAGTATGCAGCTGCTAACGAAGTCATTCAGCGTTCTGCATGCCACGTGACAGACTCAAAGAAATCAGCTCTGCCAAATTCTGTTGCAACGACGCGTCACGAAGCTGCATTTCATTATGCCAGCTACATGTCGATGTGTGTGAGGGTATGTATGTGTGTGTGTGTGTGTTTGTAGCTGCCGCCACTGTTTGATTTATGTTGCCAATCAGGACTTCAGCATTTGGTCGGCCTACATGCAGTTCTCTTGCGCACAGCATTTGATTTGTTACTCATACGCCACGTAAACAACGTTGCAAATCTGTTTTCGTGGCTGTGTGTGTGTGCTTATCGTTTATGCCATATTCTCATCTTATGCCGAGCAGCAAAGCGTTTTCTGCCACAAATATACAGCATTGCATGGACACAACAGAAATTTGCTGGGCGTCAGACTTCAAATGCAATCTATCCATTGACAGATGCGTGTCACGGGCCATAGATCATTGGCTATCAATTCATTGGTTGGTTGTAAGCTTTTATGTAATTTAAGCAGCAATTCTATTAGCTGTAAGTGGTATTTAGACTTTACAACTCTAGAGCTATAAAGGAACGTGGATGCTTTAAACGGGCAAAATTTAGCGGATCAATAAACTTTTTACTCGAAGTCGGCTTCGTAAGCACACGAATTCTCAAAACTTCTTACCCATAAAGAAGTGATAGGATATGCCAAAGGCAAAACAATTGAATTAATCTTCCATCGCTTTGCAAGCACATTAAATATTAAAGCTTTCTGCTCAGGAATTGATAATTAAACCAGCTGAAAGGCCTTAAAGCCTTAAAGAAGAATACAAAAAAATGAAATGTAAATAAGCGTCGGATTCATGAAAATATAAGCCCTTACGTAGTCCCGCCGTGAGCCCAACATAAACCCAAAACCCAATGCTCCTTTAAAGTATCTTTTAGGAATAATAACGAAAAACTGGCTACGCTTAGCACTGCTACCTTTCGCAATTTACAAGCACATCAAGTTAAGTCAACTCCATAATTCAACATTTGACTGCACCCAACTCGCAGCCAGCTAAGTTATGTGAATGATATCAGGGATTGTGCAACCTTTTTCTTTTCTGGCTTTTTCCCTTTCCGCAAATTCTTACATTTTGCGTGCCAAGATTTCTTTCTACTTTGCTTGCCACATTTTACATTGAACAGCAAAAACGTATTAGATTAGCTGAATATGCTCCATTGGGGCGCCATTCTCACTGATGGCAAATTTAAGGAATCCTGGTAAGACTTTAAGTTGTCTTTAATTTAAGGCATATTTAACTGTGTGTTTAAGGCTTAAAGATGCCCTATAGTTTTAGTAATATAAGTTAGCAATAGTTTTTTTTTCAACTCGACACATTTCGGAGTCATGGTTTTGATATTTAAAACACGTGGCTTTTAAAGTGTCTCGTTGAAAATTTTACAGCAGTCAAAAAATGAAACCAAAGGTCTTTGAGTGTAATGATTTCAATTAGTCAATCACATAAGTAAATCATTTATTTTTTGTTTATTTTGGTTTCTGATGGCATGCAGCTCATTTTGATTAAGTCTATAGTCTGTATATGGAGATCTATTTATGTAGATACACATATATCCGAGCAACATAAGCGGCAGCTGTCACGTTTGCTCGCATGGATGCGCGTGTGATGAATACTTGGCAATTAGGCTGACTCTTTGCCCGGTTGTTGGTTGTCGTTTCTTTTATGTTGACACAACAGCCAACAGGATAAAATCAGTGAGGACAATGTTGTCGTCTATTCCGGCTATACCCATATTACACATACTAATAGCCATCAGAGCAGGGAAGCGGCGGGGCGCAAACGTTCCTTGTCTCGCATAAATATTTTATTTATTTGCTTTGCTGATTTTGGTAATTTCTGTGTGTATTTTTTTTCTAGCAGCTACGTGCGCAAAATACTCAATTGATTGAACAGTTTTTAGTTGACATATTGTAGGCAAAAAAGAACTGGCCAAAAGACCGGTAAATGCTGGGAAAATGTTGTAAATGTTGGACGCAACATAAGCTGACATATGTGCAGCATCAGTGAATGAGAATGGGTGTGAGATTGGCATTTGAAAAAACTAGGGATAGGTTAATAGACATTTTTGTATATCAATTGGTAGAAATGATGCCTCTCATTAAGATAGGATAAAACATTTATTTGTAATTTAATTCTTTATTATTTAAATATACATAATACTTTTTTAATAACTTACCTTTGCTTTTTATTTTAAAAATTTTAATTTGGTTTAATTATGTGTTATGTGTTTAATGAGGTACTTGGCGTTAAATTCGCCAGCTTGTTTTTGGTATTTTTATTTGATTTCTTCTTTATTTAAGTTCTCATTTCTGATTTATCCACAGTTAAATAAAGTCATACAAATATTTATGTTAAAAAGAATTTAATAATAATGCTTATTTCTACAAATTTTTTCTCTTTCTTGCAGGTATGTACGCAGTTACGATTAAATGGCACATTTGCTTATTTAAATGCGATTGCTAGCCAAATAAATGGAAGAAAGCATCTAGTGGAATTCACAAGGCATATATTTGCCACTTCACGATTGTAAAAGCGGCTTGGAGGTGCAGAAGGAGAGAGAGGAAAAAGCAGCACGTGCCCCCGCTGTGAGGCACCAGTGCATTTGTAGATTTGAATGCTGCCAAGCGCGTGCCGCAGCAATTGATAATAATGTGATGGGAGAGAGAAGGGAGAGAGAGAAGTGAGCAAGAGAGAGAGAGAGAGAGAGAGACAGAGTGAAGCAGGATAAATTTAGAGCTCAGGGCAAATGGTGGTTAGTGGTTCACATCACGCAGCTGGTAAACTGTTGGGTAATTCAATTTGTGGTTTAACGCAAGTTAGTCGTAAGCAACAACAACTTTAACAACAACAATAAGTGCAGCCAGTTGGTTACGCACACAGCTTGAATAATGTGGCAAAGGGGGCAAGTCGTCCTGGCAACGTGTGTAATTGTGGCGTCGAAATAAACGCAAGTTGCCAGCTAAAAGGATACGAATCCACACTAAAAATGCTAAAGCAACGATTCGAGTGTGTGTGTGTGTGTGTGTGCGTGCGTGTGTGAGTATGTATATAGCACATGCAAGCAACCAAAGCCTCAATGCAACAACTGCAACTACGACGCATTCTGATCCACTTGGCAAACCGAAAAACCCAATCCGAATTCCCTCGCGTCTAGTTGTCGTTGTTATTTTTTGGCGTTCAAGCGATTTACTCTGTTTTTTTTCTTTTATTTGTAGTATTTTTTACCATACATTTTGTATTTGTTTTCCCTTTGCCCCTGCCACATGACGTATGAGTAATGGCTTTGGCCTGAGCTGAGCGCACGAGAGCTTCTCTTTTGTTGTTGTTTATTTTGCGGTTGCATTGCTTTCAACAAACCATGTGAGCGTTCAAGTGTGTGTGTGTAAGAGTGTGTGTGCATTTTGGGAGTTTTTGTTATGCCAAATTGGTTTGCTTAAATTGAATATGCGGCGCATACTACATGCATGCTATAAATTTTGTAGTAGAAAAATGTGTAAAATAGCTTTATTTGTGTATAGCTCAAGCGATTGATATGTTTCGCAAATAAAAAATAGTGCGAGCCTTAAACCATGGAATACTGAAAACTGCGCACGCGTGAGGCAGCAGAACCTATGTATGGTTTTTGGTTTAGGCTTTCGATTATATTGGGATTATGTGCGAGTTTTAGTCGAAAGACCGGAAAACTCATGACTTTTAGGCAACTAAGAGCAATTATAGAAGATTATAGATACAGACAATCTTAACCATTAGACCAGGCCCTGTTTACGCGCTTTAATTGTTTTCGGATATTTGCATACACTTCCCTTGTAACGAACAAATTCAAAACTTAGTTTTGAGTAAAACCGAGCCAAAAGCGTGGTGTAAATAACTCAAAGGCACTGACTTAATCTGGCGCATAATTCAAATCCGCTGCAAGACAAAAGACACCAAGGATAAAAAAAAAAAACAGCAAACTTTGCAAACGCCAAAATCTTAAACCAGAAACCAAAGCGAATGCGCGAAAAAACACTAAGCCATATTTTTGCTCAGCTACTCCTTTTGGCCAAAAGGCGTGTGCCTCACCCCACCCCGCCCTCCATCCATCGGCTGGTGCCAAGAAAACAGCGTTACGCCCACTTTCAACCGTCGCCCACACTCTCTTGCAGCTACTTCATATTTATATAATAACTTTATGTTTATGTTGAACATTTTGCAATAAGAGCAATGATATGTGAAAGACTCGCGAAAGTTGTTGCCAAAACAAACCGTGGGGCAAGCAGCATCCGCCGAGTGGTGCAGAGGCACACCGACACACACACACACTAAAACACAGAGCACAACAAAAGACGCTCGCGTTGACTGACACGACTGGCGTCGAAAGTTGATTTCTTAATGTTTAGCCAGAGCAACTGCTGCTGTTTGTCTTGCCGCAACAAAATGGCAGCAGCAAAAAGGATGTGGCAAATATACACATGCACACACAACCACACACACACACACACATACATACATACACATATACACATAGCTATACCCATTTTCAGGACATCTCACATGCGTGTAGAGTCAAGTCTTCAAACTTTCAGTCAAAGGCAGCTCCGTCTGCTGCGCGCATTGGCAGCAAAACTTGCCCCGAGGCAATTTACACTGGCAGCTGTTTATTTTGAAACACTTGCCAGGACATCTCGCAGCGAGCAAGGATAACAGAAACGCAGGCAGAGACAGCGACAGCGACAGAAGAATACCCAGTCAAAAGCAATCGCATTGGCAACGAGCTAATATTTGTTGTATAAAGAGCTTGGGCTCGAAATGACGCCGATATTTTTACAGCGGATGCGGAAATGTGCATTATTTGATATGACTCTCTGTTTGCCTTTAAACAAACTCACACACACACACACACACATACACAGACAGATATACACACAGAAACATGTCGTTTTCATTAAACGTACTCAGAGTCAAGTGAGTGCCTTGTCAAGCACTTAATAGACATTACAGAAGAGTTTCAATTCGAGCATTTGTCAGCTCACGTTGAACGATTTCTGTCAAAAGCTGAAATTTAAGGTTGACTTCATTTGAAATAGAAAGAGATCTAGCTTAATATGTGCTATATATAAATATTTCTGTAGAATGCACTGAAACAAGTGCTTGTAGTCTAGCCAAGCTGTTTAGAAAGCTTAAATGCTTTTTGTTTGAGTGATTGATTAATTGATGATTGAAAATATGACATTTCATTGACTTTAAACCCTGCCTCCATAATAGCCGAAATCGCCGTGCTAATTCGTGTAGAAAATCTTCAAAATTTAGACATGGTTAGCCCAATTGATTGATTGATTGATGATAATTGCAAACACATTTAATGTTGCTGAGCAAACCTGTTGCCTTGCGCAGTCGTTAACACAAACAAAGAGAGCTCAAAAGCAATCGTCTTGTTTGCTGACTTGATTGATTGATTTGTGATTGAAAGCACGTTTTATGCAACCGCAAATAGTTGTGGCTCTACAAACGCACTCTGTAAATTTTTTAATATAAACTGAGGTCAGTCAAGTGGAAGCTGTTAATAACTGCTACGATTGATTGACGGCATGCCCAGAATAAGTGTTGGCATTGCAAAACATGATACGTTTCTGAAGGCTTCACTCTTCAAGCTCTTAATGATATGTAATTTCTTTTTACTTAAACTTTTCGTTTCGATTTAATACCAATTTCATTGCCTACACTTGAGCGTGTGTTGGTAAACCAATCTATGCTAGAACTTTCTCAAACACATTTTTGACATACTATATTCGTAGAAAATTTGCCACTTTCTTTACAAATTGCCACAAAGCGTTTTGCACAAGTTTAAGCCAATTAGTCGCAACCGGGGAAAATGGATAAGCAAAGGCGAACAACAAAAAAGCAAAGTCCCTCATCAACCGCAGAGTAGACAGCATAGCTGTAAAGATTTATATATTAAACTGAAGCTCCATGTAACAAATAGCCCTAACGCTAAGCGACTAAAACTAATTAAAAACCTAAACTTTTACCTGGACTACCCAACCATCGCCGGAGAAAAACTATTGTAATAGAAAATGCGCGCGAACAAAATCCAACCCTTCCAAAGTGTCGTTACCTACCCGAAGGGCCAACTTTACAGACATTGTAATTGTTGGTAGGGGCAATTTTGAGCAGCAAGTTGTACAACAAAGTTGTACAATAATCCCAGTCAACAACTAAACCAAAAAGTAAATACAAAAAAATGTCCGAAAAAAAGGAAACTATCTAAAGTTTTTAATCAAAGCAACGGCAAATCAAAATCCCTTGAACTTTGTACGCTCACACACATGAATACACTGTCGCGAAGTTCTCCAAATTGACTAACCACGAAAATAAAAACAAACAAAAAAATAACCCTTCGCCTGGCAAGCCAATTAAAATTTGCTGCGGGCCCACACGTCGTATGCGTAACGTTTGCCGGCCGCAAAACGTTTTGTGGCGCCGTCGCCTCGCGCTGTGGCATTTAATGGAGCTCAGTTTATTAAAATTTCGCGAGCAACTTTTAATCTAGCTCACAGCCGCGAAACAACTTCATTGGGGGCGTGGCAAACGCACCCCCAAGGCTCTGCAAAATTTACCACATGCCTAAAAGGCTCACAGAAAGAGTTTGTGTTTTTTTTGTAGATGGTAAAAAAATGATTCAAGGATTTTGAACTATTATTTATGTTCCATGCGAAATTCCCGGAACGTGAAGTGCGCAAAAAGTTTTCTCAACTGCGGATGCTTCACATTTCCGTTAGGTACTCGAGCATAGGACTTGAGGCTCAAAAGTTTTGTGCACTTTTGAATATTAACGCTGTACCATTCTTTATTTATATACCCGGTTCACTTTTTTTGTTTTTGTGATGAAGCTGCCTGCAGAACGCTACTTGGCTATCAAATTTCGAAGTCCGTCAAATGCAGAACCACTCGGAAAAAGTTTTTGCCCAGTTCTTGGGACCGGAGCTGGCAACAACAACAAAAGCACGGCAAGAATATAACATGAATGAGACTTGTGCAAAAGTTTACACAACAGCTATGCAAATTCTGCTATTGTTGTTGTTGTAGTTGTTGTTGAAGTGTTTTGACGCATATTGACTTTAATTTGAAAGGGTTGCAAGCATATTATTATTAAGCCAGTATTATAATGAAAGCTGCTTAAGGTAAAGAAACTCAGGCAAAAGAACTAAACAATTAAGTTGTTTAATGAGAAAATACATTTTGAAATTAATATTTTCTCTTTTGGGCTTTAAACGAAAGCGACTTAACGTGGTCCAGAGACTTGGAATTGACGATATTATAATATTAAAACATTTGCCTTTAATAAATGATGACTTGCAGAAATATTAATGGTGGAAGAGACTTTATGCAACGTTGAAGTTTTTTATTTGAATGCCTAAATCGATAAAAAGATTAAAGAGAAATGGATATAAAGATTAATTTCATGTATCAATATAAGTATATCTACCAGGACATCGGCATAAATTTTTGATGCTTTAGCTATTTATCTATTGCATCTATCTAAATCTCTTGTTTTCTTTTACCATTTGACCATCGAACACCACTTAAATGTAGAGTGCAAAATATTTCAAATATGAAGGAAAAATGATTCAACAGCAGAATAATAAAATATATTAGCACAATCTTCATATAGTTTAGTTTTTGTAAATAGGGCATTGCGTAGTCGAGCACTCGCAGCTACAATAACCTTTACTAACAAGTAATTTCATTTATATAATATTCCAAACATTGCAACATTTGAGACATTTAATCACATGCAATTGAATAATGTAAGCTGCAGGCTGGCAACGGATTATATACAAATGCAAATGAATTAATATTCACATGTATATGCACATACATATAGATATCCACGAGTAATGACGCAATTAAGGCTTTGTAGACAAAGTACTTCTGGCGTCTACTTATCACAAATATGTATGTCCTTATTGCGTTACATGCCCACTTTCATTTAATATCAAACAAAAGAACATACACTTGCAAACACACACGCACAGTCAGAGACACACACGCGCACCATTAATTAATCATATTTGAGTTTGTCAGCGGCTTACAGTAATTCATCAAAAACAGGCCGCATTTTAATTACTTTTAATCACATCAGGAGCCAAGTGGCTTTTTTCTGTTGTCGCATCATATTACGTTGCACATATTGTTCGCTTATATACCCTGTAATTAAGTGACACAGGCGGTATGAGTTTATGAATTTAAATAACAAATAATCGTAAAAAAAAAATAAATAACTGTTATACACACTTGTGAAAGTCCTCTCAGTAGTCCAAAGCGTATTCAGCCAAGAGCTCTCAAAGCTCAATAACTCTATGGCCTCTAATACTTTAAGGGTATTTCTTATATTCACTTAGAAAGCTTTAATTTTATCTACAAAATCTACTTCTTGTTACAGACTATCTTTCAATTTTAGTTGCAAGAACTAATATTATAAGGATCCTTCAAGCATACAAGAGCATCTCCGAGAGAGGGGCTCTCTCACTCTCTCTCTCTCTCTCTCTCTCTCTCTCTCTCTCTCTTTCTCTCTCTCTCTCTCTTGCATTTACATTATTATTATTATAGCGTATTTCTTAAGCGAATAATTTTAGCCTGCTGCATTCATACATATTTTTCACACTTTATACGTATTCCCAAGGCTTATTATTATGATGTTCGTGGGGATCTGGCTTTGTGTGTGTGCGAGTGTGCATCTCTGTATGTATGTGTGCGTGTTGCGCTGGAAATTGACGCCAAGGCAGCTCATTTGCTACAACATTTTATTTGTCTTCTTTCTTATTTTCCCTATTTTTTGTTCGCTTTCGCTTTGGCTTACGGATTTACTTATTGGATTTGGGACTTTGCGCTGATGCAGCACTGGGATTTATTAGGTGTCTCTCTCTCAATTTCAACTGAACAGCGACGCAACGTATATAATTAGGTCTGGGCCACACGATACGCATATGTATATGTGGCATGTACTCAGTAAATGTTACGGCTGATTGTGATGGCACCTGCCAATCGCTGCTTTATGCAAATGTTGTCCCAACAGCTGCGTCCAAAAATAGTGTCAAAAAGAAAAGGCGCAAAAACTACCTCGATACTAACCCACTGCAGTCCCCCAACAAATCTATATGCATATTGATTCTGTGGCCTGTTCTGATGCTTAACATGTGTGTGCGTGTGGGGCCTCCCCAAGCAGCTGTCCGTTTGTTTGTAAGTGCCAGCATCACGATACGCATCAGCAGCCACATTTTCCAAGCCAAACACTACACCTAGCAACAAGGGAAAGCAACAGCCGCAGACGGAGCCGCAGGGCAGCTCAACCACGGCGCAAATTGTCAAGACATGCACAGGGCCCAGAGCCAGGGCCAGGGACAGGGCCAGTGCCAGGATGTGTGTTTGTTTGAGCAAATAGCATGTCCCAGCAAAAAGCAGACAACAGCAACCAACTGAAAGAAAAAGAAAAATTTGCATATTTTCTTGCATTTTTTTCCCATTATATCCTACCTCGTGTTTTACTCTGGCATCTTTGGCCTCCCAATGCCCATGTTGATAATGCTGCAGAGGACCTTTGGCTTTGCCTAATGACTTACAAATACATGTGCACTTTGCTGGCAAATCAAGACCAGGCCACAAATGAAAACTGACAAAATAGCCGGTTACATATATCAATATTGAGTTGCTTCTCATAGTATTTTCCAGAAGTTTATGTTTTCTACCCAGCAACATTTGCAACGCCTAACTGGTTTAAAAAAATTTTCATTAGCTTTGAGTGGCGCATCCTGTCTCCGTTTTACATACCAATTTACATTAACACAAATATATTCTTCAATTTAATGCAATTTGTGGCTAAGCAAATGCTCTAGTTAGAAAAGGAAGCAAGTAAAAGCAAAAATCTGATTTCTAGTATGCTATAGAGCATACTCTCTATTTAAAGACATGGGTGAGGATAATTTTAAAGTAAACAAAATAAAAAGTAATGCTATTTGATGAACCATAAAATTTGTTTAAATTCTTCAATTTAAACCTTTCTGACTAAGTAAACGCTCTAGTTTGAAAATAATGCATATAAATGCAATATTCAGATTTCTAGTAGCATAATCTTTATTTAATGTCATATGTGAGGATAATTTTAAAGTAAGCAAAGTAAAATTTAATACAATTTACAATTTACAAAAGCAGAAGATTTATTTAAATGTTCTAAAATCTCAAAATAAAATTAACAATGTAGGCAAATGCAAGATGAAGGTAACGCAGACAAATTTAAAGTTACAATAAAATTGTAACACTAACGACTTTTAAACACAACATAAGAATATATGTTAAAATTACACCATTATATGTTATGTTATGTTTTATAACAGTCTACTTTAAATAAAAGCACACTGTTATTACAGAACTATACAAGTTTACTGTTAAGCGCTGCTTAACAGTGCGTGCAATACACAACCTGAATTTGAAAACCTAGTCTAATTAGGAGAACCCAGTTAAATCGGTTCAACTTGAATTGATACTTGACAAGCCTTTTGGCCCAATTACATTTTCTTTGTGCTGCCTGGTCTCTAACGGTCAATAACATCCAATTTACATTCGCACTCGCTGGCATCATGAAGTATTTTGCCAGCTGCTATGTTATTCCACTTCGGTGCCTAGTAAAACCAACAGCTAATTGCAATTTAAAAACTGCTTCAGCATGTTGCCTGACACATTCAACGGCGCAAATGCCAGGCAAAACAATAAATCAAATTTCAGCTGCGTTTGCAGAAACATCGCCATGTCTGGCTCCGGCAAAATGTACGCACAAAAACAAAGCTCAATGGGTATTTTGCAGAAAATTTCACATTCTGTTAACCAAAGTGAGAAACACAAAAGAAACCCAACCAATGGTCACTTTTCTTTTGGGCCTGTGGCTCTGTGCCACAACACGCAGCATACGAAATTGAATTTCAATGGCATCGTCACAATAATTGTCAAGCCAACTTGTGTGGAATACTTGAAGGCGCCAGCGCATTGCGCACTATTTGCCATGGCTTGTTTCTATAGGCACTTTTCGGTGCACCATTGTTGTCTCTATACGCTGTACGAAACACTGTCATGGGGTATATTGATTAGCTGGCAGGTTCGCAATAGGCTGAGGCAAAGGTAATTTTTTAAAAATAAGTTAAAGCTTTCAAAAGGTCAGTGTATGCTGCATTTGCTTTTGCTGTAACATAATTATTTATCAGTTGGATGAACTGCCTTATTAATTTCAGAGTTGATTGAGGTAAATTTTTAAAAGATTATTGGATTTGGCTTCATGTCAAAAGACAAAGACACGAACGACTAGTTTCCTTAATTTTTTATTCGGCATGACAAGTTTGAACTCAGCTACATCCTCTTCCATTCACATATTAAGCCACGTATAGGGTATCTAGGGCGGCCCACCACGCGGCAGCTGGCTCAATTTTGTCTTGCTGTGTTATTGTTATTGTTGTCGGGCAACAGCACGAAACCATTAACGCCCGCCAGCGGCGCCCGAGTCAGCAGCAGTAGTAACAGGAGCCTCGGCAGTCGATGTCGCAGTGGCAGTCGCGGTCGAGTCCCAGTTGCCGTTGCTGTTGCCGTTGCACTTCGCATACGTGTAAATCGTAAATATCCGGCACAAAGCGATCTAAAAGCTGTGGCAGGGGCAGCACTCGCAAAAACCACCTTGCCTCCATGCGGCAATGACAAAAGAGTGAGAGACGCCACTTGGGCATATGCGCAACGTGTGCGACAACTCTGCATGTGCAACGACATTTATATGTTTGTATGTGTGTGTGTAGGGTAGGATTGTCGCAATCAATGTGAGGCAAACTTTATGGTGCATTCGCAATTGTGTCAACAGTAGAAATGCAAATTTTATGCCACAATTGCGAACGGTAACGGATTCACTTAAACATAAATGCTGCCTGATGGGGGCATAGGCATATACATGAACGACACGAGCTGCGAAACAAAAGGGTTTTTAATATGCGCAATAAGCAATTACTCAAAGACAAACAGATCTTAAAACCTACCAAATATATATCTACATTCAATATATGCAATTAATTTTACTGACTGCGCAAAGATTGATTAAAAACCATTTAACTGATAGTTTCCTGCTTTTTGCAGCGTTAAGCATATGCTGCATAAGCTCGAAACGAACAGCCAACTGACTTAAGTGGCTGTCCATCCTCGAGTTCAATCGTCTACTTCGTACTTTTTACCATCAAGTATATGTTGCAAGTAGATGTTGACTCTTAAAGCTCAAAGCTCAATAACAAGACAGAATTCGTGCAATTTCTTTTGCCTACCTTATTTCCTTTGCTGTTTATTACATTTGAACCAAGAGCAGAATATTTAATGCCAGCTTTTCCGAAAGAAAATTATCTGCAAATGTCTAAAGCCCCATCAGCAGCACCATTAAATTCCATTTGCATATTTTTCATGTGCTAGTTGACCAGTTAAAAATTAAGAAAATGGAAAAATATGAAAATACATAGCTAGATTATCCTGAAATTTATAAATCTTTTGTGGAATCCACCCCAACGGTAGCTTATTGTCAACGTGAATTATTTTCACACTACTCTATCTGCAGCTGCTGCTGCTGCGGTTGCCTTTCAGCGATTATTGCTTTTCCCTTTTCGCCCCTTTCCCTTTTTTTCTCTCCCTCTTTTCCTTACCCATCCATTTGCATCTAACTCTCTTATGGCTGATTTGATTGCGCTGCGCTTTGGTTGGCATTCCTCTTATTTTTTTCCCGTAATTTTCCCCCTCATTTTGTTGACTATAATGCTGCATTTTTGCATCATACTCGAAATTATTCATAAATATTTATGAAGCAGCAAACAATGAGCGACTTCTGATCTATTGCATCCTTCGCAATGTCTGACGCATTTGCGTTCGCTTTTAAAGCCACAAAATCCCAACCCGAACACAAGCCTAAAACAATATCGAAAGTAATCTGGCAAACTGCATATAAACCAATCGACTCTGAAAACAATTAAAAACGCTTTAGCAAATACAAAATTCATGGACAGTAAAATTCATTAAAACGCAATAAGTCTCATATGTTGAAAAGACTTCAGAACTAGAGATGGGAAATGGGTCACGGCCAACGTCAACTGACATAATAAAGCAATGAAACATTTTAAAATATATATTTAACGTTATATCGATATCGTGAGGATTGTGTAAAATCAATTTTTACCAAGATCTTTGACTCGTAAATGATTTTATGAAATTTTCATAAATATCTTTCGAAATGAATTTGAACCTGAAACTTCCCCCACCAACTCTTTGAGACCCATTTGTACCAAGGAATGAAAGATTTTGAAATAAAATGCGTCTCAAGTGAGATTTCTGAAGGATTTTTGCCAATGAGCCTACGCCTGTAACTTCGCCCATTCAACCTTTCACCCGCATTTATCATTTAAAATGGTTGAGTTTTGCAAAAAAGTTTCGATTTTTCCTCACATGCGGGGGAAAATCTTTAAATCCCGTCGAAAAGTGCGTTTTAAATATATAAATATGTATTTATTTCTCGATACCTTTTTCTAACTAATTTGAATTAGTCGTTTGATGAACTTATACAGCTTATATTAGTTAAGGCTATATTAACCTTTTTATAAACTCCTTTGTTAAAATTCTTTGCATGTCTTGCTTTCTTATTACAAGAAAATAGTTATAATTACAATTTGTATATTGTTGGTGTAGGGCGTGAGGGACGTGCTTAACGCGTGCTTTTGACACGCGCTCATCTCTAACTTTCACACATACATAGAAAATTGGCTTGCGCAAAAATGCTTCTGTCGGAAATGCAACTCGCAAAACAATTTCAATTTCACTCTGCAACTGAATGCTCAAATGTGTGTGCCTCATATGCCACTTCCATGCCATATAAATAAGTCAAAAACTCACATTTTTACCCATCTTTGTGTGGCTTATGCAAAAAATATGCTTTGAGTTCCGCCTGCCGATAGACAAGCTGTATGTAGGTGTGTGTCGGAATGCGTGTGTGTTGTAATTTGTGTGTGTCCTTGTGCCTCGTCTAAAAGTTTTACAGTCTGAATGCCAATTCGATTAGTTGCAAATAGTTTTTTGCGGCCTGCCACAACACTTTGCATATGACAAAATTGCCAAGTTTATCATATTACTGAAAAAAAAGTGACAGAGCTGTTAAAAAATGTATGATTCAATATTTATGCATGCCGAATAAGTTTAAATACAATGAGAAAGTTTAATAAAAGCCAATTAGTTGGCTCAATATTTGTTAGAAATTTTCGCATGAACATGAATCATGGGTTTCGGTAGAGGATCTTGTATATACATATTATGACAAAGATTAAACTTTAAAGTTCTTTGGAATTTACCAGAAAATGCGAAATTGCTTTACCAATGCTGGGAACACTGCGTATGCGTAATATGCCACAACAAGTCCGCAGCACACACGAATTGTTGCATACTTTTGGGGCGTGACTCTCAGCAACACATGTGCCGTTGAGCTGGCACTTTAATTCCACAGTGTTCATCATTTTTCACTTTTTGTTAGTTTGTTTTTATGACAGGGTTCCTGAGAATTCGGGGCAGATGACAACGGTTGTCGGAAACTTGGCTTGTTTTCCTTTCTGTTTCGTGCTTTTATTTTTTCCACACCAGCAACAATAACAAATGGACTCTTTTTCACGCACTTCATTTTGCAGCAGTCTATTGCCTTTTGTTGTATATTTCACTGGAAATACTAGACTTGATATACCCACTATGGTACTGCGAAAGTAATATGTATGCAACATGAAGTATTAATCAATCCAGTAATATCCGCTGCTCAATATAAGACCAGAAAACTAAATCGATAATAGTTAACAGCAATTTGTTTTACTGAGTAACAGTTACAATTACAGATTTTCCGAACATTTAATTAATTTCGGAATAAAATTATAATATTAAATGTTTTACAGGGTATCCGAACGTCTCATACTCTCAGTCAACGCATTTCCACTTGTATTTCCTGTTGTTTTGTTAGCTCTTCGCTTGTTGTTGCCTGCCTGTCAGCGCGCAACTTTTGCTCTGACTTTAATGAAGCCAAAAACTTAACGCTTACAATAACAATAACAATAAGTGAGCCATCAGAAACTCGCTTTCACACAGCCTGAGTGCTCCTATCTAGTATCACAATCATAAATTTTGACTGCACAATCCTAACGCTTCAGCTGTAACCGTCTCATTTCATAAATTATTTCATATTTCATTTCCTTTGCGTGCTGCAGTGCCACAAAAAACGAGAGAGATATACCTATATACGTATAAATTTATATATATATATATATATATATATATATATATATATATATATATATATAAGTATCTATAAACATTGCAACAAATGTGTTGGGCGCCACAATCAAATGCGAGCTGTGCGCCCCGCAGCGTTGCAACAAAATTTGCTGTTTCTTTTTTTTTTGTGGAACCGGTCGGTGCGATCCAACGCCCATCGCCGCCAAAGTAAATATAATATTACCAACTGCAACTTCAATTTCCTCTGGCTAGCAAAACTCTGGCACACAGCTCAACTAGCCAAATGAAATGTAGTGCAAAAAGCATTAACTTTGTGTACATAGCTGTTGGCTACATACAAATGTAAACAAAAGCCCAACGATATTTATGATGGTTGTCTTTTTACAATGTTGTTGTTTATTTAATCATCTATATTAATTTTTTATTAATTGTATTAATTAAATGTTTAAATCTTTTTGTATTGTATTTATCTATTATTACATAAACTGTAATAAAAAACGCATTATTTAAATAAATTAAAAAAGTTTTCATTTCTGATAAGGATTCTGTGATATATTGACAATAAGTAAAACTCGTAAAATATTTTAGTTCTGGCAACGTTTAAAAGTTTGTCAAAATTAAATAGATTTTTATTAAAATTGATTTACTATGCTTTGAAAATATTTAAAAAACGTTTGCGCAAACGTTTACAAATTGTTTAGATGACAACGGCTTGCAGTTTTGCAGTAATCACTTTTTCAGTAATTGTTAAATGCATTTAAGTTGTTAAACATTGTTTTTTATCTATTTACATGCTATTATCTAACTACATGTTACTGTTGCAATGCTGAACTAACTCAAATTAAATAAACAAGTAAAAGTTTCTAGTCGGAGCTCCTGACTAGGGGATACCCTGAACCCTCTTCCCTCAACATCAAATGCATATATATATTTTATTTTAGAAGCTATATGTCAAGTTTATTATTTACCAAAATTGCCCAAAAAACAGGATATCGATATCGATAAACTCAATCTGCGCGGAAACTACATATAAAATTTCAAGTCTCTAGCTCTTATACTTTCTGAGATCCTTGCATTCATACATACGGACGGATGGACGGACGGACGGACGGGCGGACAGACAGACGGACATGGCTAGATCGACTCGGCTATTGATGCTGATCATGAATATATAAACTTTATGGGGTCTGAGATGCTTTATTCTGCCTGTTACATGCATTTGGATTTCGCACAAATACAATATACCCTTATACCCATTTTTAATGGGTTCAGGGTATAAAAATTCTCTTTAATTTATAGCTTTACATTTATTTGATTATATATTTAAAAATTATTAATTGACATTTAAATTTTTTTGTGCAGGTATATTTCAATGATTTAATACAAGCTGACAAAAATTGTTTACCTTAAGCTCAAGCACAGTAAGTAATTCTTCATTTAAAATGCTGAACAAGGTTATTCACTAATTTTCTCGCCGGTTCTACAGTAGAACCAAATATCGTCGGGCAGGTAACAAACGCCACCAGGTCTGCGTTCGTTATAGGCATTCTTGATGTTGTCAGTTACTTTATCGGGTCTGCCTCTGGGATTAAAATACCAGAGATCATATGTGGGATTATAGGCCAGATGGAGCACGTCGTCCGGTAGTTGGCTAAATAAGGAAAAACTCTTTGAAAATCTTTTTCGCAGATTTTTCTTGCTGTCTTACTTACTTTTCATTGGCTGCGGCTATTGTGAACAGCACCAAGAGGCCAATTGCAATAAGAGCACGACTCATGTTAGCTGTTAACTGTTGGCTATGAGTTGGTACCTGTTACCTGTTACCTGTTTACTGGTTTACTAACGCTGTGCAACTGCCAATATATTGCTCTGTCGCTTGGTATATAAGGCCGCCTAAAGGCCGCAGCAAAATAACATGTGGAGAATTGTTTAATTTTCAACACAATTTTTTTTTTTGAGTTGTAATATTGAAAAAAAAAAACTAAATAAAATGGAGAGAGTGGGGTTTCGCGAATAGAAGTTTAACTACCCTAGAAAATATATATGAGTTTTAGCTAAATTAAATGAAGTATTTAAACTTTTGAAAGAAAAAGTATTTGCTTAAGAAATTTGTTGATGCTTTCAAAAATATTTTAATTCGCAAAAGGTGGCCATCTAAAATTAAACAAATTAAAGTTGTATTTAAATATAAATTGCTTCTGAAAAGCAAATAAAATTGCTGTGTCCACTTTTCGCTCCCACCCACCGAGCGTCTAGACGTTTTGATCCTTTTTGTGGTAATTGCTGTTAATGTCCTGCGGCTTTCAGGGCGACTTTCTTGACCGACTTAGTTATTCATACCATAAATCTGATTTTTGCATCGAAATACCTCGCAAAACAATTTAGTTTCGTTAAATGTACTTGATTGTGCTATTTCAATCATATGAAGTGTTATTTTAATTAAATCAATTTGTTGGAGTGTTTGTTTTATATGATTGCCCTCTTTGTTGCTTGCTTGTAGGGTATATTACAGCTTTATCTTTTGCAGATGACGCATATGCACTATCTGCGTTATATTTTCAAATATATATAGACTCTTGGCCATATATTAATTAAAGGGCCTTAAGTATTCGACACGCTTAAAGTATATTTTGTTTGCTTTTCAGTGGAAATTCATTTCATTTTTTGTGTTTTACTATAAATATGTATATATTTGATTTTTTTGTTAAACTAAGCATGTTTCGAAAATTTAACATGCTGACCTAAATAGGTCGAAAATTTATTTTAAAATACAATTTGTTATTACTCAAAATATTTACATAAAATATTTATTTACAATATATATTCTAATGCTTATTTCGTATAATCTTATCTTATTTCGTTTTCACTTCAATACCAATTTTATAGCCATTAAATATGTTGTTGTGCTACGATTGCCTTAGCACTTATTACAAGTCTTGTTGTTGTTTTTGTTTTTTGGTTATTTCAATGCCTTGGCGCCGATAAAAGGCGTTACAAACTACACGAATAACATTTAACAATACTGGTAGACAATGCGGGCGCATTTATCTATGTCATGACATTTTATTTCAACCGCGGCCCACACTGCGTATGCGCAATTTGTCAAATATAAAGCTGAAGCGACCCTGTGGCCAGCAAAACTGTGGCCGAAATGAGAAGCACAAAAATTTATTGGATAAACACTTGGCATAAAAACATCATGAGGCAACACAAAAGGGAGCCGCAGAGTTGAGTAAATAAATAAACACAAAAGGAAGCAAGTTAAACAAAGAGCACGTGATTGTGTGCGAAAGTGTGTGTGTGTGTGTGTACATATGGGTATTGTTGTGTGTGTGGAGCAATTGTTGTCTAACCCAAAGCGACAACAAAGCACGTGTAAAGACAATTGCATGCATGTTTTCTAAATTTTTTGAGTAGGCCACAAATATGTATACATATATGCTTAGCCACGCCCACAAATTTGAAAATGTTGTCTTCCTTTATGCTTTTATTTGTCGCATGCAATGGCATAAAGGGCCAACACATTGTCAAACAACCACGCACTATCTCTCTCTCTCTCCCCCTCTCTCTGTCCCTCTGCACTTTAGCAGCAGTCAACACTCATACGCCTCGTTGCACGGACTTGCTGCACGACTCGCCCCATTGTTGTGGCATATTGTTGCACATGTAAAGCAGCTGCAACAACAACAGTTGCAATCTGAGAACGTGTCTGGCATGTAACTAAAATAGCTGCGAAATATAATGTTTGCGTGTGTATGTGTGTGTGTGTTTGGACTCAAGAAGCCCTGTCTCTGTCTCTGGCAACACAAGAAATATGCAAAGTGTTTCACAATTTAATTAAATTATTATTTGAGCACTCGCTGCTGTCGACCATAGGGAGCCAAATAAACTGCAGTTTAGAGTTGCCAGTTTGAATTTCATATCAAAGCACAATTAAGTGCGCTCTAACCTGCCACTTAGAGCAGTTAGTATACAACATTTTTGGCATTTATTTCAAAGTGCCGGCAGCCAAGCCACAAAGCACAACATGGCGTATACGTAATGCGTTAAACGACTTTGGCTAGCTGCTGTGCCACAAAAATGCCTAAGAAAACAAATCCCGACGGGCTCACCAACAACAAAAACAGCGCAGCAGATTAGCTGGCATTTGATTAAAGTGCGAACATATCCAAAAAAGAAATGAAAAACAGTTGAGGACAATGGCTGCCTCCTGAAATCAAATCAAATCAGGCAAGAAAAAAAAGACAAAACAAAAAAATAAATAAACCAAAGTAAGCAAAGGCAAACCTAAAAGGCATGCCCATTTCCAGGCCACATTCTAGCTGGTTTTTCTTTCTCTAGCTCCATTTCAATCAGCATTTTTCAGCTAACAACATAAAAGAAAACATCAAGGAAATGACATTGTTAGAAAACATTTGACCATTTTTCCTGTCCATGTCACGCAAAATTGAATTGTATCCCCCTGAAAACAAAAACACACAAAGTCAAATTTAAAGTGCAAAAGTTGTTGCCCATTTCACAAAGATGTATCTGCTGGAAATTAATACCTGCAATTTTGAAATATAAAACCTAGAAGATAATCTATGTCCGTGTTTTTGACAAGGGATATCTTAAAGAGCATATATCAAAGTATATCTTCTATTGTACCAAAGCAAACAGAATAGGCATTCCTGCCTCAAAGTCAAGCTAAAGCATTATTATTGATACAAAATAATATGCTCAATGTAAGTGTATAACAGGGTATTCAAACACATGCGCCTACCTTGGGCTTACTTTGTTTTTAAATTATTTCTAAAGCTTGGCTAAATACCCTTGTCATTGCACGTTTTGACAGTTGGGTAAACAATACGACTCAACTTGGGTTTTATATGAACTAAGTAACTAACTTGAAGCCAGCAGATTACCATACTATGATTTACTACACTCAAGTTACAAAAAGGAGCACTCCAAAAAGTAATTTGAGCAACTTTTAGTTGCTCGAGCACAAGAAAAAAAAATAAATCACTTTTCATTTCAATTTACGCGCCAAGTTGAGCGCAATAAAGGAAATTATGAAAAGTTCAACCAAATAAACTGAAAATAAAAATGTCCCAAATAAAGTTCACTTTTCAACAAAATTGTTGCGCTGAATAAAAAAATCTTTAAAAATAAAAGCTAGCGCCAGGTCGCGACCTCTTTAGTTCCTTAAGTTGCGGCAAGCCAAGGCTGTTGGGTCTCATACATTATAGCATAGTCGGCGAACCGAATACTTTGCACATTTTTATGGCCCTGACAGCGAGACCCTACAGCCCTAACAGCCCCAACAGCTCAGCGCAACGGTCGCCAATTATGTCACACGCCTTCACATAGACACCCCTTTCTCCCCCTGCCCCTCCCTCTGCCAAACAAGCAGCCACAACAATTTCTTACACCAGTTTACGAGCATGGAAAAGAATTTTTAGCTGTTAAAAAGAGCAATTAAAATGCTTTGGCGAGCGCAAAAAAAAAGAAAATGGAGATGCATGAAAATGCCACAGAAACTAAGTAAAGTCCTTAAATGTTGCAACATTCACAGAATTTCGATGTTGCAACAATCTAAAGGGAAAAAAGCAGTAGATGTGTATGATAAAGATGGAGAATGTAGAACCATTGATTTGCTTTATCATCATTTTCGAGCCATTTCACTTCATTTACTGCTTTAGCAACTTACTGCAAAACCAAAAACAATGCCAAATGACAACGCAATAAATGATAAATATGTAGAGCTGAAAAGTTCAGGAGTTCAGGCGTCCATAAAGTCTAGAGTAGAGTTGAACGCCCAGCGTGTTTGCGTACGTGACACGAAATCAAATAAATTATTAGCAGTACTTAAAACTACTTAACCCTACTCAACATTTTTTACCGTCAATTATTCGCCCATTTCTTAACAATGTTTTCCATGGCTTAATACATTGCAACACTGCCTCGCATTCCTCAACACTGTTAGCCACTCTTCTTCTCACTTCTCAAGCAATTTAAGGATGCATAATAAAACAAACCATTTCACAACACTACTTACAGTAATTCAACACGATCTGTTTAGTATTTTTCTTATTCATTTCAGAAGATTAACTAAAATATTGCCCATTTATTAGCATTTATACACTTCCGGTTCATTTTTTTTATACGAAAAATGCTATTTTAATATTTAATAGGTTTGTTTGCTTTTTAGACCAAGACGTGCGTGGCTTCTATTGTATACTTCGTGTTTTTCTTGGAAAAATTCGACATGCTTTCATCTCTTAAAGCACAGAATCTTTGGGCCATCATCAGCATTTGGCATCATTTATTGTGTTTGTTGTTTGGGCGCTGTCTCGTTGCCGTTGCCGCTGCTTTTGCTGTTATCGCATGTTAACACTTCATAGGAAATGCGGCCTGGTCCTTGCGATGACCTTTATATAGCTGTGTGCGTTCCCTTTGGCCCATTTGCACCCCGAGATGTGGGAGGCCAATACGCTTAGTTAGCCCCACAACACGCCCCTTGCCCCCTGCACCCCTTATAACCATGCTCATCAACCGCTTTGCGTGCAAAATGTCAAAATATATTTTAGTTGAATTTATGGTCAGTGACCAAAAGCAAGCGGACAGCGCTGGACTATCCAAAGCTATTCAGCACTTATAGGGGATTTGTCTCTGTGTGTGTGTGTGTGTGGTGTGTGGTGTGTGGTGTGTGCGTGTGGTGCGCTGTGTCTTTGCTTATTTTTGGGGATTTACACAACGCTTATCACAAACACACTCGAAGTCTAGTCGTGGGTTTCGGCCAATGTCTAAACTGAAATATTATGCTACATTTCATTAGGGAATACACACACATACGCACGGACACACACACGCATCCGTTTGTTCAATGCTTTACAGCCACTTAAAATAGATTAGCTTTCAACGTTGTGCTTTAAAAAATAATAAATAGCTGCCCATCATTTCTTGTTCCCTTATTTCCTTTGCTTTCTCGTTTTCTTTCAAGAGAAGCAGCAGAATATCCATTGAAAACATAAGCAACTGTCAATGATTTAATGCCTGAAATCACAACCCAACCCAGAGTGTTTGAGCTTCCATTTGATAAATGAAACGACAAACACCACACACACACACACGCACGCACACAATACATCAATCCGCACCGTTTTGGGTTGTCCAAACGTATGGATGGTCCCTGACACAAATGGTTTGCAACTATTTTTGCTTTGTGCATATATGTCATAATTTAATACCAGGTTTTAAGTATTTATTGCCAGTTTATTCACATTTATTTAGGCAAATAAATTGCATTAAATATTTGACAGACATTTAATAATCTTTGCATATATCATATTTCCTTTGTTGATTTTCGCTCTCCCTCATTATATTCAAAAATATGTTTGTAACTTCTCAAATTCTCGTTGCCCAACTATCATATAAAATACAGTGAAACGCAAAAAGCTTTAATACTCCACTTTAAATTATTTTATGATTCTTACTTCCATTATTCTGATTTTCTCTTTAATCGATCAAAATTTCTGCAAACTTGCTTGAGCTTCTATCTAGACACAAGCACAACTTGAAATATGTTTAATTCAAATAAAAAGGGATATATATTAAAGTTAAGAGGTGAATAAGACACTCACCTTGTGGCAATTCCCTCACATATTTGAACGAAAGTGGGATGACAATTGTTGAGCTTAAGCTATATTTTTATTTGCCGTATAAGCCCAGCATCAGTCAAGTTAAGAGCTGTAAGGGGCAGCCTTTTTGATGCTGTCATATACCATGTTAGTGGCTAACCATTCAATGGGCAACTTAAAAGCACACACAACACAGTCCATATACAATCAGGCGCACAAAATGGCCAGCCAGAAAGGACTATAGGACTGCTGAAGGACTATACACACACTTGCACAAACACACACGCTCACTCTGTCAGGTAAACAATATAGCTGGAGGCAGGCTTCGTGCTATCGCATAAAACCCAACGCCTCTATGTGGCTGACATGAAAACGGAAATATAAAAATTATACAACACTGGCACACCCACTTACGCACACACACACACATGCACACTCACTGTTCGAATGATAAATTACATTACAGTGCTGCATTTTATTATCATTTAAACAAATACATGAAAATGCACAAAAACATACCAACGTTTGGGCCATGGGCGTGGCCATTAAGGGTTGTATAGAGGAAATTTTGGCCTGAAATTTACAACGAAAATTTTGTGTAAATTTTGTGCATAAAATGGGCGCTTATGCGATTTTAACATGCCAATGCGATTATTACACGGCAAATGTGAATTATTTTCGGCGCCCGCCTTGCAAAAACCCAAAAGTCACGCCATTAGCAGACGGCATATAAATATTTTATAGCCCGCTTTTGGGGTTGCGCATTTTAGCCTCGAATTCCCTTTGTATGGGTTCGTTAAATATATATATGCGATTATAGTCGCAAAATTGTTAAAATATGCATAATATATATTATCAAAGCAGCACTTAAGTACTATATTTAGCTAAGCTTAGCTATTCATATGCCTAAGCAGCTGACTAATGGAGCGCACTTTAAGTATAAAAATAGTACTTGAATTAAAGCAGGCATTATTTCTTTATTTGGTCGTATTTATTTGACTACGCACAGAATAAAACCTAATTTTTACTGGGCTGGGTCTATATGGATCATTTGTCATTCTTTGGTTAGTCCTCTAATCAATTCCAAGCAACATTTTTTACTCCCGCAATATCATCACTCAGCTTATTTGCTAGTCATACGTTCACAATCTTAACGTTTCATATTCTCAACTCAAAACAAAAAAACAATTTACGTTTAAATAGCTCTATTAGTAGAAACATCGACACATTTGCATAAATAAATCATTTATTTATTCCCTGCACCCGATTATAGGCAAGGAGGGGGTGTAGTGGATTCTTGCTCAATTTGTTTAATATGCAGAGCGTAGTTCTACGTTAAGTAAATAAGATTTGGAATGTAACAAAATGTTGGCTTGGAAAACAATTGAATTCGATAAAGATTGATTTCACAACAGTTTTTGTTATCGAATTATCAGATTTACTTTGCTTGAATTTTGTTATATAAAAACATAACTTTAAGTCCGCAAATTTTGACAATAAATAATAAAATGTTATGTAAAATACGTTACCAAGCGTTGGGTGCAGGGTACCTGTTAATCAGGCACTCTCGACTAGACCATATTTATTAGTTTTTTGTTCGTGTTTATCCCTTTGATACCCTGTAAACAAATGGATGGTGACGAGTGTAGAGCAAAGTTAAAGCAAATGCGACTAATTGCCGTAGCACACAATTCGAATTGCTTAAAGAGCGTAAAGAGCCAACGTACTGTTGGTTTTCGTTGCCGCTGTGCTGGCTGCAGGTTGTTGCCGCATGTAGTTGTGGCATGCTGTTGTTTACATTTGCATTGCGTTCAGCTTTCACGCTGCTCAGCTGCTTAGTGGCAGCTGCCACAGCAGCGCCATATGGCCAACGTATGTATGCGTATAGGTCGAAAGGCGAAATTTTCCGTGTCAGTTTCCCTAACCCATCCAGTTCATCCATTCACTTACAGCCTGTGGCGAGAATGAGGAACGCGCCTGTTTGCCCTGCTATGAGCCGAGCTGCTCGGTGCCCTTTAACTACGATGGCTCCTGCTCAACGGTCTGTCATCTGGGCTGCGGCTGCAAAACCAGCTTTGTGCGTGACGACAGCTCCTTGAAGTGTGTGTCCATGTATCAGTGCGACAATATGCAACTTCATCGAATTCCCTAACGCCATTAAAGCGTTAAGCATGAACTGCACTTTTTTTTTAGTTCTTAAGGTAAGCCCTGGCCCCAGGTCTTTAGCCAGACTTATTTTAGCCATGTACGCAACTCACTTACAATTATTTTTGCTGCTTATTTTGAGCATTTGCCAGGGTTTGCGGGCGCAGACTTATGAGGAGTTAAGGGAAAATGGCGAACTAACGCCCAAAACTCGTAAGTGTCTGTTTTCTTTTATTGCATTTTTTAAAAAGTTTCTATAAATTTAATTTGCCTCAACAGTTTGTCTACGCGATATTACCGGACACGTAACTATCTGTTACAAATAAAAACTTTAACTGCAAAGAAATGGTGTTTTTTTGTCTCAAAATAAGCAATAAACCAGATTGTGTATACGTCTACCATTTTGTAGATTCTCCAATTTATTTTCTGCATTTGCGTACATTTTTATGGCACTGCCAGTACGTCTGTCTCCACAATTTTCATTTGCTTTTCTATTTCGTTTTTGCCTTTTATGGCCGCTCAGCACCAAATCTTGAGCAAGAAAATGTTCTTACTTTTTTTTTTGAAGCACAAAAAGTTTTATTGTTTACTTTTTGGTGTGCTGAAAATTTACGAGTCTTGAAGAGCATGTGTGTGTACATGTGTGTGCACAGTTCATAGTCTATATATTCCTGCTTTATAAACGCACAATTTTCAGTCTGAAATCTGTGTAGCACACACTCTCGTAAATATTAATTTACTTAACTTCAACTTGCGGCTCTAGTCGCTTATTTTATTTGTGTTTTATTTTTTATTTTTTCTGCACGTAGATACTAAAAATGATGTCTGTCATAAGCATAAACTGAATAGTTTATTTCTATTCTCCAGCCACCCCTGTTTTTCAGACCTTTCCAGCAGCCGTTTGCCCTTAATTTAATTAATAATGTCTAAAGGTTAAAAAGCGATGAGATTGCGATTTCCTGCTAATAATTATAGATTTCATGGCATGCGAAAGTGTAAATTTTTAGCAAATAAACTTGTTACCTGGTAAACTTCTGAAGGAGAACTGCACATAAAATAAACTGTTAACTGTGTGTTGCATTTATTTTATCCTTTTTGAATGCATAATTTTTAGCAACACAAAAAAAAAACATATTTAAGTTTTAACAACTACTCAAAACAATAATTGCCGTAAGCTGATTAAAGTTTTACCATATACACCCCATAAGTATGCAACACAATTTGCACGTCATTGTGCGGAGCATAAAAGTAAACTAGAGATGTGCACGTGATTAGCTTAATGTGGTCGAAAGCACGAGAATTGATTATTACACCTCAGTCAATTTACTTTTTTTTTACGAATAAGGCTAGATAATACAAAAACAACCTCAAGAACTACAAGAATAAGAATTACAAAACCTCCGATGCTGACAACAAAACTGCATATTTAAAATATTTAAAAAAAATTTTTTTTTGAGTGAATTACATTGTGTCATATATAATTGGATAGCCATCAATAATAATTTACCTGTAACACCCAATAAGAGTCTTTTTTGTAGTCCAACCTAACCCGAAAATATTTATGTTTCAATACACCATTATATTCTTCAATATTATATATTGTAATTTATGTTTTAACAGGAAGAAGCACGTTTATAATCTATGGATAAGGATATAGCCGGATCACATCTGTGCACAAATTTTTAACACATCTACAAAACTCACACAATGTGCAATTGTCAGTATTTATATGCGCGTGAGCGAGTGCGTGTCTGTGTGTATGCCTGGGAATTATTTGGCGCGTGAACAGCGAACAAATTTGCCCACTAAATGTTTACTACTATTGTATTATTACGGAATGCTGCGGACATTAACTAAAATGTGGCTCGACTTGGACATGTTAGTGGATCTTTTTGTTGGTCGGTCTGTGGTCGGCGGTCGGGGGTCGGTGGCTTGCGGTCCCTGGCCATAGTGTGTGTACTTTTTTTATGTCTGCCTATAGAAAGCAATTAAATGGTCAGCAAAGTGCTGGCCCCAACACATACATGCGGAAATGTTATTATTTTTGTTGCACGTGCTGTTTTTGTGGTTGTTGCGTTACGAGAAAATAAAATTAAATTACTCATTAATAGTAGATTTCCGTCTCATTTTCGCGCAAATTGCATTTTATGCGCTGCACATAAATTTATTCTATTTATATTCTCTCTTAAGCCTAGCCAAAAATCGCAGAAATTTAAGTACCCCAAACAAACAAATAAATAAACCTTAAGCAGCTGCCCCACAAAAGAAAATAAATACAAATGAATGCCCAAGGGCGCCAACTCTGAAGTTTTGGCCATTTTTCTAGCAGTTGCCTGATAATCGAATTCTCTTGTTCCTGCTGCACAATAAATTCAAAACTTTTGCACCTGTCCAGACGGTAAACCTTTTACCACATGCAGCTGTAGAAGAACAGTTCGCTTGTTTATTCCCTTAGCTTTGGCTGATGCTGCTCCCTCTTCTTCTTATCGCCAAGTTAACACGCATTCATGCGCTTATAACGAGCTGCGTGCAGAACTTAAGATAAGGCCTATGGCAATAGTACCACACAGCCGGCCAAACTGCTGCTTAATTTCTTATGAACCTACGCAGCAATCCAATCCAAACCCCACAGACAATTGTTTAATGAGCTGTTCAGTTGGTTCAATTGTAGTTGTTGTTGTTTTTGTTTCAACTTGTTAGATGTTCCGGCTTACGCTTTTGCTGGTTGTATGCACTGGCTTTCGGCCATAAGTAGCGGAAATGCTTAGATAAGAGAGAGAGATGGAAAGAATTTTGCAAAAAGTTGCTCATTTTAATCAATAAACTTTTTCTTTAAGATCTGAGAACTTCAATACTTCGTCTCCGAGTCACTTGTCTTTTTTAAAACTATAACCGGACAGTCACACAGCGTTTATTTGAGAAAGGAGAAAAAAATAATTACGAAACCAAACAAAGAAATTATGTTCAAATAATGCATTTTTCAACTTCTGTTCTGAAATTAAGAAATTCTGATTATATGCAACTTGTAGGAAATATTATTATGTGTTGCTCAAAAAGAATAAAGTTCATGCTAGAACTTAACTTTTTTGGCATGAAAGAAAAGGTAATTTTTTTATATAATATTAAACTGTTTGTACATAGTAATAATATTGTATTAGCAACTGAAACGTTTTATTTTAATTAGTTTTATGCTTAATATAGTCTTTGGCTTAGCGATTATTAATTATATTGTTTGAGATCAATGAAATTCTTCTGCCTTCTCATTACGAATTGCAATCCAATTCGACGTTCCAATTGGACTTCAACGGAAATCCAATAGCAACCGACATTCCATTGAATGCTCTTTATCAAATTAAGGTGCGCGCACTAAAGTATGCAGCAGAAAATTTTCACGCCAGCTACTTTTAAACTCGATATTAATTTCGCGGTCGTATAGGTAAAGAGTAAATAAAGGCGACAAATAGCTCAAGTGCACTGCAATTACACACTTAATAATCGGTGACTGAGTAAAATAAATAAAATAAAAAATTGCACATTTCAGTGGGCAAATAAAGAACACGCAGAGCTGAGCAGTTGTTGCTCGTCAGGAGAGTCTCGACAGGCAGACCGCAATATGCAGCGTTGACAAGCCTGAAGATATAACAGCTGGAGTGGTAGCCTGCTGTTCGCTGCACAAAAATGCATTTAATCTCGTTGTTCATTTAATTAATGTTGAAAACAAATTAACACCCAGCAATATACTCACTTGCACTCAGACAGGCATACAGGTACTCTGTGTCATTTTTGCTTGATATAAATTTCATTTTAAGACCCATGCTAGCAATAAAAAGCCAGAAAAATGATCTGTGCTGAAAGAGAGTGATAGACTAATAGATGCCCAGTAAACACGGACAGCTTTATGTTTATTATATGACAACTGATGCTTGCTTTTCTTTAAATATAAAAAGCTACAAATTTCAACTGAACAGAGCATACAAGTTGAAAATGCCATTAAGGCAGCAGCCCTTTTACATGATCTGTAGCAACTGCTACTGCTTAACAGCACCCCATTTATAGAAGCTGGTCCTTTACAGTCGACTGTTAAGAATTAGCACCAGCTTAACATTTTTTGCCCCTTACGCGTATGCAATACAATTTTTAATTCAAGCATTCTTCATTTAAAACTGGGCAATCAACGGCTGACATCTGTTGTCCCTTGCGCGCGTGCATTGAAATTTGTCGTCCGCTGATTTAATGTCTACTTTCTTGGCATTTCTGTTCGCCTGGTATTTCGGCTGAATTTGAATGTAAATTTCGAGACCCAGCGGCCCAATTGAGTGAAATTTATAATGTTGTTTAGAAACATTAGTTATGAAACAATACTTTAAATAGCTTTATTTTAAGTAAGATGAGTTTGATTTTCGTTATATATGCCACTTTGAAATAGTGACAGTGTATGGAACATATTGGATTCAAAACTTTTTGATTTTAGAAACGATCCCAATTTTTAGCAGGCAAGAAACCATAACGTAAATGATTTGATTTGATTTTACTCTATCTCTTTTACACCTATATATACAATATGCCCGACTCATTTGTTATTTTTGTACAGGGTATTATGAGTAATAAAATAACATTTAACAATTTTCGGTTTACTCATTTTTAATGCTATCCACTTTTGCTCTTATTGCCCACGAACCACAGGTATGCGCGCTCTCGAAACGCGCCGTAATACTTCAGTCCTCGGACATGATGGCCTACAATGAGCTGCAGCCCGTGGCGCTGCATCAGGCCGGTAACAACAATAACAATAACAATAATGCGGGCGGCAGTACGGCGATTGCGTCGAAAGCCTCAGCACTGCAGAATATTATAGCCAATGCAGGACTGAGTTATGAAGATGTGCTGAACGATGATTTCCAGTTCGATATGGATGGACACGATGTGATGGTATTTTTGCACATACAAAAAACAGGCGGCACCTCCTTTGGGCGCCATCTAGTGCGCGACTTGGACCTGAAGGTGAGCTGTGTAAAAATTATATATCTAATCGAAATAATTTTCAATGAATACAACCTGCAGCGTCCTTGTGAGTGCCAGCGTCAGCGCAAGCGTTGCTATTGCTTCCGTCCGCATCGCAATGAGAATTGGCTCTTCTCCAGATACTCGACGGGTTGGAAGTGCGGCCTGCACGCCGACTGGACCGAGCTGACCAGCTGTGTGGACGTTGAGCTGGACAAGAACGAAGGCGAGACGGCCAAACGCCGCTATTTTTACATCTCGCTGCTGCGCGAACCGATCTCCCGCTATATGTCAGAGTACCGTCATGTGCGACGCGGCGCCACCTGGAAGGGATCGCGGCACTGGTGCCTGGGCCGACAGGCAACGGCCGTCGAGCTGCCGCCCTGCTATAAAGGCAAGGATTGGTTGGACGTGGATCTCGATCAGTTTGCCGGCTGTGAGTCGAATCTGGCTGCCAATCGGCAAACCCGCATGCTAGCCGATCTTGCCCTGGTCGGCTGCTACAACAAGTCCTCGATGCCGGCGCATGAACGCGATCGGGTCATGTTGGCCAGCGCCAAGCGTAATCTGGCTGCCATGGCGTACTTTGGACTGACGGAATATCAGAAGGTTGGCTCGAATCAATTTATAGTTATCATAACTTACCTTACCTTAAACAATCTTTTAGATGTCCCAATACATCTTCGAGGAGACCTTCAACCTGCGCTTTGCCATACCCTTCGAGCAGCACAATGCCACAATTTCCGCAGCTGCCGTCACGAATCTGCGTCCCGATCAGCGGCGACGCATTGAGAAGCTCAATGGTCTGGACATTGAGCTCTATGCATTCGCCAAGAATTTACTATTCCAGCGGTGAGTACTGCCAGAGAAAAAATATTCAGTTCGAAATTAAAAGCCGAACTTATAGATAAGATTTAAATATGACAAGCAAAACCATTATATAAATGCCCGAAATAGTCAAAAATATGAATGCTTTATATTTCAATTTTATAACAAAATGAATGAATGAAATGATGATGCAGGACAAATATAAGATTTAACATAAATTTTAAAAGTGATTGGTAAATATTCAATCACACAAAATAAACTGTGCGCAGCTCCAGTCTACAAAAACTCAAGTGCTGTTAATACAAATCTAAATAGAAAATGATAACAAAGTGAACATGGAGCACATAAATATGTAAAATGATATATGAAGGGAATGAAGCTCTCTAGTTGAATACGTAAAGTGACAATGAGGGGCAGACAACAATCAACATCCCCGATGATCACAGCGTATCCCATTTGGACATAAACAAATAGTATAATAGATATACATTCAAATGTTTCCTACTCAAATATCTGACGCTCTTTGAATCAATAGAGTATGCAAGAATAAAGGCTTATATCTATCCATTATTAATACGTACATAATTGGCTTATGTGCAGATTCAAAGATTGTTTGCACATAAATCTTAAACTCCAACGGATTCTTGGTTGCATCCTGTTGCTGACCCAACCAGTTTGTCCGGACGCAGAAACCTGATCCTGGTGTTCCTTTTTGTTGCCACGCACATCGCGCAGCTCATGAATGGTCCTCAGTCTCAGGTCGATGACTCATTATGAGTCCTTTTTGGGGTGCGCAAACCCTTTGA